CAGTTCCATTGAGGACTATATGTTGAGTGCGGTTGGTCAGCCAGTTATGAATCCATCTGGTGGTGATGCTGTCTAACCCACATTCTTCTACTTTATCTAGTAGTAGGTTATGGTCTACCTTATCAAATGCCTTACTGAAAACCAAGTAAACTATATCAACGGCATTCCTCTGGTCCACTAATTTTGTCACTGACAAAATGGAGTTGATCCAGAGTTGATAACCTAAGGCCACGATGGTGAACCTATTGCCCGTTGCTCTTCTGGGTTCCGGCACACACATCCATGCCAGCGAGGTGGGTTTTACATGTGACGGAGCGCTGGAAACCGGAAGAGCAACTCCCTAGCACACATGCATGCCAGAGACAGGAAGACCACGCCTCTTTCAGTTTCTGGCGCTCCCACATGCATGCTCCCATTTCAGCACTCGGTGCCAAAAAGGTTCACCAACACTAACCTAAGGTCATATATGGCCTCTGCATTTTTTCTTTGGGCTCAGAATATCTAAAAACCAACAATGTTTACTGCTCTTTTGAGGCAGGAAGTAGAATGAATTTTTTAACACATCACAGCTAATGTAACAGACCTCTTAACAGATCTATGACATAATTCCATCCATTTTGCAACTGTTCAAATATGCAGAGGGCAGCCCTTGGTTACTAAAGGATTGATTAGTGCTAGATTATATAGATTAACTTCTAACTCTGTATGACTTCCTATGTCAATAAAAGGCATAGGCATAGCTATCACTTCTGTAAACTTGGGTTTGACATCTTCAAAGAAATTCAACTCCCTGCACATCCCTGACATATATAGGACAGGGGTCATTTCACACTGAAGGTGCAAACCTTCTTGCATCTCTGTGTTGAAAACTTTGAAGTGATATGAACCCATCCAATGTAAGATGAGCCTTTTGACAACTTGTAAACAGTGTGGGATGCTAGGATGATCAGTGGCACAAATTAATTAGCATGCAGAAGATGTCTTTACAGTCTAATTAAATGCCAAAATATTTATTCCTTTAACGAAGATATATAATTGGAAAATAGCATCTCCTAATTGAAATATCTGACCTCTGAAATGAGAAAATGGCCCAAAATAATTTAATGACTAAGTAATGGAGGATACATACTTCCCCAGTCCCGTATTAGTCTTTTTATTGCCTTTCAATAGTTGGCTAGTTGGTAAAACAAGATTCTAAGCCAATATAAACTGGCTGAGAGGCATCTTTAGATACTGATTCTTTGTATCTTCAAATTCCTTCCCTGGAATTGTTCCAATGAAAGTATTCCAGAATAAGTGGCCTGCGAACATGTTCCTTTTATCAGGAGGGAAGATAAGTTGGCTACATGGGAGCTCTAACCTGATTAAGATTAAGATGAATAAACAGAGCTAAAGCCCAGGAGTCAAATGAAGAGGCAAACTGGAAGATAGACAATCTTGATGAGAAATGCAAAATGCTAAAAGAGGCAGCAACTGAGGAACAGGCATTTATTTCCTCCCCTCAAACCTGTTATAAGGAAAGCTGTTTCCTTCAGATGATGCTAAGTTTTGAAAGAAGAGAAGAATCAGGAAGTGAAGAAAAAGTAAAAAATTTGGCAGAAGAGAAATAGAAAACAGAACCTTAAAAAAAGTTAGGAGATAGCAAAGTAGAAAAGGCAGCATAAAAAGACGAAAAGTGATAAGAGAGATACAGGGATCAAGTTAACTAAAATATAGAACAACTGCATCACATATATACCATTTGCCTGAAAATAAGACCTCCATGGATAATAAGCCAAATTGGGATTTTGAGTGCATGTGCTAAAATAAACCCTCCTCCAAAAATAAGCCCTCCCTGAAAATATTGCAACACAACAGAAGCCATGAGCTGACCAAGCTCGCTGCTTCCTACACCTGAAAAATAATAAGACCTCCCCCAAAATAAGACACTGTCTTATTTTTGGGGAAACACGGTAGAAGGTAAGATATAAGAATATAATGAAGTTGGGCTTTGAAGAATATAGTGTAGAGAAAAAGCTTAGATAAATAGGAAAACTTATTTTATTTATTATTTATTTGTTTGTTTATTCAATTTGTATAGTTGCTCATCTTTTTGTTAAAATCTTCATATTAAGATTAATTTCTAAACTAGTTGAAGACATTTATCATTTTCAATTCCTTTGGGTTTTTTTTATTTGTAAACTTTCTTTTTGTAAAATAAAAGTCTCCCACCAGTTACTGAAGGGGTGTATTAAAAAAAAACTAACTAATTGTCCCAGCTTCCAGTATTTCTTGTGTATTGAATCTGGGTCAATTTGTTTATTAGTGGGAAAGAAGTAAAGTATCAGTTCATATTATTTCATCAACTGCAGGAAATGCTTTTTATGGCACTTGCATATTGATCTTTTTACTTGAGATCATTGATCTGCAAAGCAGGCGTCCCACTAAGGTTTGGATGGCCTATCCAGTTATTGATCAAGAGGTTATCCGCTTCATAATATGGTGTGACAATATTGATCATAAGCCCTTCCAGCTTTGAGGGCCTATCGAACTCATTACATACATTTATTTTGGAGGTCAATAAAAATTCCCCATCATCTGATACAGTTCTAGGAGAAACAACATCATGAAACTCTGATACCAGACTTTTCTCATTCAGAGGAGACAAGGAGAGAGGATAAACAAGAGTGGAGAGAGAGAAGATTGAAGAGGGGAGAGGAAGAGGGAAAGAGAGAGAAGGAGAGGGAGAGGGAGAGGAGAGAAGAATTTAGTTCTCAAAATTGTGTTTCATTGCATTATGTATTTAGCAGATTTTTGCTCTGTCATTTTTTTGTAATTATCAAAGGAGGAGGCCCCAGCAGCAAACAACATATCTGAAAATCAGATGAAATGGACAGGAACTGTGCTTACTCTTAAAAATAAATAAGGTGTCCAAGGGATATATTCCCATTGAAAAAAACTTTTAAAAGTTCAAGAGAAGAAAAATAATCTTTAAAAAACAAAAATAACTTGACACTCTTATAAAAATGTTAGCCCTTTAAAATGCCAATGAAAAAAATTGGAAAAGATCCCTTGGCCATTAAATGCAATTCTCAAACCACTCCATGATTATTTTGAGAGAGAAGTTATGAACAGTAGCCAGATTTAGTTTGCAACCAGCATTTAGCCCACCATGAGTTTCTCAAAAGGAAAAATCCCCAAAGTCTCCCATAGAGTCATTCACAGTAATTTTATTTTCTCTCTCTCCCCCCCCCATTCTTAAGGAACAATCCTATTCCTTAAAAGGCTGCGTTTTAGCCCCGATCATATGGAAGATATTTTTGTGGTGTTTGTTTGTTGTGTTTTGTCTGTTTGTGTTTATTCAAAAATAAAAAAAAATTATAAAAAGAAGAAGAAGAAGGGGACG